TCCCCCCCCCCTCCATTATGTTTACCTCTTCTCATTCCCAGCCGACTGTTTAGGTCACTCATAACCGGTTGTCATTCCTCTCAGTTCTCTTAATTTTGTTTTTCCACTGAGACCTCAGATCACTCTCAAGATAATCTAGTTACTTTTAATTGTTCCACTTCTAGGCTGCAGCATTATCCTGATACCACCACCTCCTCTCTGCAATCCCCATCTGTTGTTTCCAGCTGTCAGTCTCAGCTGAACACTTGCTGGCCTCTCCAGCTCATTCTAGACCCACCCCCTTTCAGTGATCCTATCCTGAAACTTATAGGTTGAGAGTGCCCGTCTTTCTCCCCCCCCCCCCCCTTTTTTTTTTTTTAAAGATGACCGGTAAGGGGATCTTAACCCTTGACTTGGTGTTGTCAGCACCACACTCACCCAGTGAGTGAACCGGCCATCCCTATATGGGATCCGAACCCGGGGCCTTGCTGTTATCAGCACCACACTCTCCCGAGTGAGCCACGGGCCGGCCCCTTTCTTCCCCTTTTCTCTGAACAATGTGAGGTTGTCCTAAGTTGACAAAGCATTTCTTTTGTTTCCCTGTTTTTCACCCATTTTCCTTTCCTGCATCAGAGTGCGTGGTCCCATTCCTGACCTGGCCTAAGGTCCCTGTCTTGCAACTGGATAATGGCAACTACCTCTTCTCCACTAGTGCAATCTGCCGGTCAGTATTGGTCCTTGGTATGGGGAGGTAGCTGAATCAAAGCAGTCTTTACTGTCCTTTGTGTGGCCTTATTTGCAACCACTGATTCACTGAGGGGTGAGAACTGGGCTAGACAAATGGGCCCCTCTAATTCCACCTTCTGTTGGTCTCTCCCTGGGCAGATACTTCTTTCTGTTATCTGGCTGGGAACAAGATGACCTTACCAACCAGTGGCTGGAATGGGAAGCAACAGAGCTGCAGGTGGGACTAAGGCATTAGGGATGGCAGGAAGGCTCCTGCTCTGCATGGTCATCCTCACCCTATCCCTTCCATTTTAGCCTGCTTTGTCTGCTGCCCTGTACTATTTAGTGGTTCAAGGCAAGAAGGGGGAAGATGTTCTTGGTCCAGTCCGGAGAGCCCTGATTCACATTGACCACAGCTTGAGTCGTCAGAACTGTCCTTTCCTGGGCGGAGTGAGTTGGGTGTTGACATGGGGATTGGGGAAGGCTTATGGAGTAAGGATTAAGAGGGAAGACTGTATTCAGAATGTTCAAATCCCAACACCATCACTTACTAGCAGTGTAATCTTGATAAATCACTTAAACTCTCTAATCCTCCATTTTTTTCGTTATGGAGTAAGGATTAAGAGGGAAGACTGTATTCAGAATGTTCAAATCCCAACACCGTCACTTACTAGCAGTGTAATCTTGATAAATCACTTAAACTCTCTAATCCTCCATTTTTTTCGTCTGTGAAATGGGAATAATAGTCATACCTACCTCACTAAGTTATTTCGAGCAATAAGTGAGATAAAGTGCTTAACACAATCCTTGATACGTAGTAAGTGCTCAGTAAGCATTAGATATTATTATTACCACTGGAAAGAAACTGTGTCATCTGTGTGCCTTTCTCTCTTTTTTCCCCAACAAAGGAGACAGAATCTCTAGCTGATATTGTTTTGTGGGGAGCTCTATACCCATTACTTCAAGACTCAGCCTATCTCCCTGGTAAGAACTGTACACCCAGCCCCAACCCCAGGAGCTTGGTGTAGAGGTTACAGAATGGGCAGTAGAATATTGAGGACTCACTTTAAGGTGGAGCTTGACAGGGCAACTCTAGCAGAAGATGGCTGAGGGAACTGGGGAAAGCAACTGGAAAAACCTCAGAAAGAATGGGAGGTGGTCCACTCCTGCCTGCCCAATCCAGGTTCTTATGCTTGCTAATTCCCTCTTTTCTACCATGCCCACAGAGGAGCTGGGTGCACTGTGCAGCTGGTTCCAGACACTGAGTACCCAGGAGCCATGTCAGCGAGCTGCAGAGACTGTGCTGAAACAGCACAGTGTCCTGGCTCTCCGGCCTTACCTCCAAAAACAGCCCCAGCCTAGCACCCCTGAAGAAAGGGCTGTCAGCAATGAGCCTGAGGTTTGGAACAGTGCAGAGTATCCTCAAAGAGCCTTGGGGCCTGAGGTGGGAGGTGGCTAGGAGATGGATTTTGGGCCTGGACTAGACTCTAACCTTTTCAGTTGTTGGAGAGCAAGGAGATAGTTTCTTTACCCTGTGGGACTCCCTCACCTGGTAAGGGATTCTATCCACTCTTCATAGGAGGAGGACCTGGCTACCCTGTCTGAGGAGGAGATTGCCATGGCTGTAACTGCTTGGGAGAAGGGCCTGGGAAGCTTGCCCCCACTTCGGCCTCAGCAGAATCCAGTGTGAGTAGGCACAAATGTGTGGGGCTTGGTTTTGTAAGTGAAAGTTGTTTTTGTTTTTTTTTTTCCCTCATGGCTGGCCAGTACAGGGATCCAAACTCTTGGCCTTGGTGTTATAACACTGTGCTCTAATCAACTGAGCTAAGCAGCCAGCCCATGTAAGTGAAAATTGTTGATAGAGTCAGTATGTGCCTGCCAGGTCCCCTTTGCTGGCCTCACTTTAATTTCATTCTCTCCTTTTTGTTCTCACGCCTCTTCTTGTTTTTTAAAAATTCTTATCATTTTGGATGTTCTCCACCTGTCCCGTATGCATCCATGTTTTCAGCTACTTTTTACCCACTGATAGCAGCTAAGTCTGTTTTTCCAGTCCAGATCTCTAGTCTGAGCTCCAGACATATTTGTCAGACTACCTCCTAGATTTGTCCACCTCCACGGGCATCTCAAGTTCAACATGTTCAAAACCAAACCTGTTATCTTCCCTGCCAGCTGCCATTTTTCTCTCTCTCTTTAATTCACCTGTCTTAGTTGAACACCCCCACCTTCCACCAAGAAATCCAAGCCAGAAATCTTGGTGTCATCTAAACTCTTCCTTTTCCCCCTGCTGTATCATTTATTCTTTCTTTCTTTCTTTTTTTTTTTTTTCTGGTGCCTGGCTGGTACATGGATTTGAACCCTTGATCTTGGTATTATAACACCTCTTTCTTTTTTTTTTGTCTTTTTCGTGACCAGTAAGGGGATCGCAACCCTTGGTGTGGTGTCGCCCGCACTGCGCTCATCCAGTGAGCGCACCAGCCAGTCCTATATAGGATCGGAGCCCGCGGCGGGAGCGTCACTGCGCTCACAGCGCCGCTGCGCTCTCAGCGCCGCACTCTCCCGAGTGTGCCACGGGCCGGCCCTATAACACCTCTTTCTAACCAGCTGAGCTAACCAGCCAGCTCCAGTATCATTTATTCTATTACCAAGTCATTGATTCTAACTCCCAAGTAGAATGCATCCCTCCTCTTCTCTATTCTCACTGCTACCACTTCTAATACCTCTGTTTCTTCCCTGCCACCCTGTACTCCACACTGCACATATTATCATCTCACCATCCTTTTCAGAATTCTGCAGAGGATCTGTGTGTACTTCATAAGACCCTTCGTGATCCTGCTTCTGCCTGCATGCTCAGCAGCATATTTTGTCACTCTCCTGCTACACTAACATAATATTCACATATACACAGATTTTTTTCCATCGAAATGAAATTATTTATAGTTCTGAACATGTCATTCAACAAAGATTTGAGTATTCACTCCTTGTCAGGCCCTGTATGCTAGGAGCTAGGTATACAGAGGGGAACAAAACAGACAGGACCTCTGCTGTCTTGGAACTTTGAGTGAATCTAGCAGGATAAACAGGTATTTTTAAAACTGTCACACAAATTTATAATTATAAATTTTGATAAGTCCAATGAAGGAAAAGAACAGGATGTTATGACAGAGAATGTTAGAGGAGACTAATTTAGGAGACTAAACATCTTTTTTTTTTTTTTGTCTTTTTGTCTTTTTCCGTGTCCGGCAACGGATCGCAACCCTCAGTGTTGCCCCCGTACCGGACCGGGGACCGGCAACGGGATCGCAACCCTTGGCGCTGCTCCCGCGCCTCGCTCAGCCAGTGAGCGGGAACCGGTCTGTATGTGGGATCCGAACCCTCGGGCGGGAGCGCCGTCGCGCTTCCCAAGCGGCGCACTACCCAGTGCGCCACCGGGCCGGCCCTAAACATCTTTTAATTAGATTTTTCCATGAACTTTTGGAAGTACTCTCGTGTAATAGAATGTAACTCTCTTGAGGGCAGTATGCAGGGCATACTCACCTATGTATCCACCACGGTAGTAAGCACACTCATAATGAGAGAGAAGTGACAGGGTGACATGAAAGGAAAATTACAGAATGTGGTACGAAGTGGTTAGGGGCTTGGGACACAGGAGAGACTGTGTGGGAGGCCAGTTGTCAGCAAAGGAAGGTTTTCCTGAAGGAGCTGATTTCTAAACTGGATTTCAAGGAAAATTATGGTATTTAGTTATAGGAAGAAAGGCCAATGAATGCAGGAGAAATTAATGAGATCTTTTATGAGGAAATAAGCTGTAAAATGTTCCAGAAAGTAGATGGACCATCTAACTGTGGTATATAGCAGCCTCTGGGAAGAAGGGGAGAGGTTAATGTGAGGGAATCAGGTAGCCGGTGGTTATAGGATGAGAATGGTTGGAAAGATGACAGGAGCCTTAGTGAGGTGTCAGTGCTAAGAGGGGGTTGATACAACATGTATGCAGCTGAGCTGGCAAGGGTGATGACATGTGAAAAAGAATACTGACTTGAGTGACTTCAGACAGCTAAGTTTGTCTATAGGTTTTAAATGCCAATAGTCTCCTCCTCCACTTATGTGTTAGCCTGTGAGTGGCATGACTACGAATGATCCTGGGAAATTGGAGAGGAGAGGGTGGCTATGAAGGCAGTAGCTGCTACCTGCTGGTTTAGTTAGGAAACTCATGAGGACAGGACAGGCGTAGGTTAGGGAGAGAAGAGTCAAGGGGTATAAAAGGACTTGGTAAGACTTGTATGTGGGGTGACAAGCTGTAAGGATTTTAGGTAGTGACTAGAGGTAATATTAACATAGCACCTGGGACGAACGGGAGAGGTCAGTGCTGGAAAAGTGTTCTTGGGAG